GTGGCTGTAGCCATGTGGGGATTGGTCTCTTCCTCCAGGCAGCAACTGACAGAACCAGAGGGCACAGTCTCAAGCTGCACCAAGAAAAATATAAGTTGGATATTAGGGAAAAAGTTTTTTATGGAAAGAGTGATAAAGTTCTGAAATGAACGCCCTGCCTGGGGAGGCGATGGAGTCACCAGCCCTGGATGTGTTTAGAAAAAGACTGGATATGGCACTTGATGCCATGGTTTAGTAGAGGTGTTAGGGCTGGGTTGGACTTAATGATCTTGAAGGTCTCTTCCAGTCTAGTCATTCTGGGAATTCTGGGAATTCAGTGTGTTGGGATGTACTCCATCCCCAGCGTGCCTGGGTTTATGTGACAACTGCCTCAAAAATGGGTTAAAGTGTGGTGAGAGGGGGAACTCAGAGAGCCTAAATTGCAAAAGGGATATAGTAGCCCTGTTACACAAGACTGCAGGTTTAATTCAAAGGCATGTTGAGCCCACACTTCTGTGTCTGACACCTTTATCTCGCTCATAATAACATCACTGTTGAGGTGAAGTGATTGTGGAATTCACCTGCATTTTCCTTGTACATTTTATTGCCTGCTCCTTTAGAAATTCAGTAATCATTCGGCAGAGAGCCTGGTAGCAAAACCAGACCGATAAACTGAAAGTTGGCCATTATATTTGGTTTGCTTGCACATGAGCAAACAGCACAAAAAGCAGCAGCAATACACAGTCCAGTGAGAAAATGGCAATTTTAAGAGCAAACAAGTACATAAAGAAGTAAAAGCAAGAGAGATGAAAAAGGAGTTCTGCAAAGAGGCAGCAAAGGAAAATTCTTGCTGTGTGGAGGTCCTAAAGATCTGTCTGTCTGAGGCCTGACAGCCCTGCAGAGCTGAAGCACATCTTTTTGTTGACTCTGCCATGGGATGGTCATCTCAGACAGAGCAAGCTGCTGGGATCAGAATTCCTGTAGGATTTCTCAGGACACTTGTCAGGTTTCATTAGTCAATGTCCTTGCTGCATGGCATGAATCCACATGCAGGTCCATGGGAAGTGGCTAATGAAGGTTTTTAAGTTTCAATTAGCAGCCTGACAATGGAAAAGCAATATGTGGATAGAAGAGCTCTCAGCTGCTTGCAGAGAAGAAAAGGGAAGTACTCCTTGTGGTCTCAACAAGGAAGAACAAAAAGTGTGGGGGATATCTGTTCTGACATCTGGTTTGTGTTGCTGCAAGTCATCCCTGCACAGCCTTCCCTGTGGGCTGGGGTGACCTGAGGCTGTTCAGAACTGTGGCTGTGGTTTGTCACAGGTTTAAGCGACAATACTTTTGGGGTTTGGGTTTTGTCCTGCTGCTTGTGTCACAAATAGTTTGCATAATAATCATCAGTGAGCAAGTGGGAAGTACAAAATTATCATTATCCTCAGGAGAGAGAGAGTATCATTTTGAGGCATTCCCAGAGCTCAGGAGGACCAGATTTCCATTGGTGTGCCCAGAGCTCCTGTAAGAGTAACTACACCTGGGCTGTTTTACACATGGAAATCCTGGACAGGTCATTGAGTATCACTTCCCATTTCACATCTAGAGCTCCCCAGACATGTGTGACTGTGAGCAGTGCTGAGGCAGCAGGTCCCCTTCATCCCAGAGGTGATGGACGTGCTGTGCATGTGCATGTGGTGTTTACCTTGGGCAGGAGCAGACTTCAGGACACACAGGTCTTGTTGTGATGGTCTTGGTAAGGAGAGAAAACATTTGAGTCTCAGCTTTAGTATCTTCTCCACAAAGCACTCACTGAGGCCAATTTGCTGATCAAAATCTACACAGAAGCCCACAAACATGAATTAACTATCTTCACCGAATATTCAGGCTTGATTTTTCAGCAAGTAACTGTTTGAGGAGAACATTTAATGGATATTAAAATTCTTCTAATTCTGAATGAATGATTCCCACAGGTTGAGATTTACTGTGAATTTAGCTGCTTCTTCAGCTCATGAGCTTTTAACAAGTAACATGCAGCTTTCCCTACATTATTTGTTTTTCACTTTTAATCAAGTAGGGCCTTAACTTAGGACCAAACTAGGGGCATGACAAAGAATTTCTGTGCTGGAATCCGACCCTGCATTAATATATATGTTGTTTTCTTTCTCCAAGAGATGGAATTATAAATAGTCTGAGAGAAGCATTGACTACTGAGTGCATGATTTCTAGTCGTCATGTGTGCTGTGTTCTGGTACATGGTGTAGCTGACAGATGCTTTGAACTCTGGTAGTCAGAGAGACACTCAAATCTTCACTCATGGTTTTGTGCCTTCTCAAGATGTAGGGAGCATGTTGGGGCATGATGGCAGATGGTGAAATTTATGATGGTTCAGAAAATGTTAAATATGCTTTTTTTGGGCTAAGGACATCCTGACAATTAATTACTCTTGAGTAAAATTCTAACATGAGGCATTAACTGGACTACAGTTACTGTCAAGTCCATATAGTTTCAGCTGTGAAGTATTTCACAATGCTGTGGTCTGACAAATTACATTTCTTCCGTGCTGGGATGCTGCTGATACCATTTGGGAGTTTTGTCTCTCTACTTTGTGGAAAAAAAAAAAAATCTCAAGTTGCTAAGGAGGACAAGTTTAATTGATTTTCTAAAAGCTTTAAGCGGAGGCATGGGCCACAGGCTTGGGCAAAGTTCACTGGTTATCATGCCATACAAGATATTTCTCTGGGGGTTTAATATTCTTTCCTACCAAAACATCTAAAGCACTTCAAAAGGTTTATTTCTTCTAACAAGCCTGGATGTGGGTTTGTTTGTTTGTTTGTTTGTGTGGTTTGGTTTTTTTTTTTCCAAATAGTAAAATTTGAATGGCGCTGCAGGTATATGACATATAACAGCCTGGGGCTAGAAAAAATACAAAAATATTGATGCAGAACTGTGCAGAGTTGTTATGTCCAAAGGATATCTGCTTGTGGAGTTTAGCAGGGCAGATAGTATTTGCTTTGCTTCTCTGTTGATTTTCCTTCCTGGCCTTGAGGGGCCCCAGAGAAAGTGAAGAGCGTTGGTGTTTCTCAACCCTCTTAATACAGACATACCCAAAATGATTTGTCTAAAATTTCCATGGCACTGCAGAGAAGTGACCCCAAAGCACTCCACTTGCACCCTCAACATATTCTGCCTAGGCAAGAAGAGAGAAAGACATCACTGGTGACAGTGAACTCAGTTTCAAGTCCTGCCTTGGGCCCAGGGGTCAGATATGGGAGACATGCTCTGCCTGTGATAAGACAGCATCTAGCAGAAAGCTGAGACAGGTTTTCTTTCTTCAGCTTTCCCAGGTAGGAATGTGGGCTTGGATCTTGCACTGGATCCCTTCTTCTCCACCCAGGCAGCTCCACAGCAGCGCTTGTCACGCCTCAGGGTAACAGAGCGACTTGTTTATCTGCTGCAATGAGCACTGCTGAGTCTTCAGAGGAGTGGAATTACATTCTGCATGGTGACTTGGGCTGCAGCCATGTTACTAAACATTGGCTAAAATTTCCCCTGCTTGTTGCCCTCACTTTATCCCCCATCAGTGGGAGCAATGTTAGGGGCAGTAACACAGAAAAATCTGCAGAAAATGTTGGCATTTTATCCACTCTGTCGTCTTGCTGTCTTCAGCTGGATGGCATGGTGTTGCAAATATTGTAAATATTAGCCTATGCTTGTGATGTTCTCCCTGTTGGTTCTTCTGGCAAAGCTTTGGTTATTTATTTTTGTAGGGGCGGGTAAGACAACAAACCCTTTTGCTTCCATTCAGCAGCAGACAACTCCATTTATTCAAAATTTAACTTTAAAAAGAGATCAAACACAGTGTCTGGGTTCCTTAGGATTTTTGGTGCTTGATTTTGAGAGCCAGTGAGGAAGACTGTCATGTTTCTGGTTTCACAGAAGCTGCAGCTATTGCTGGCACAGCTCTGAGCGGGGTAGCTCGGCCTGGGTGCACGTGGGGTGAGGAGCAGCTGCAGAGCCAGAGAGGGGCTGCCAACCTGGGGTCAAGGATGTGGTGGATTTTAAGCCCTTGTACATAATGGCAGTTTGAAATCTTTTGTTTAGAAAGTTTAAGGGACAGGAAGCTGGGTGCATGGTCAGTAAGTGGAGTAACAACCTGTTACTGCACTTACAGACCATGCACCCACCTACCCTGTGGATCTGTGCCACTCCCATGGTTTTCAGAGGTTACACAGTCTGATCTCCTGCCATTCACGACCTGTGCAATTTGTGTCATCAGGGGAATTGTTTGGACAGAGGAAATATGTTCAATTAGGAGAACAGAATTCCTTCAGGACAAAAATGGCTGTATATTGTCTCTTCTCAACGCTGCAAAAGAGAGGATATAAATTAAATATTTAATGTGAAGTAAGAAATTTTAGATAAACAAAAACAGGTGCATTTCTGCTGGTACATTGAAATCAGTTCCTTTCCTAGAATCTGCAAACCCACACTCCTCTAACTCACACATGCACAAAATCCACCCCCTTGCTTTCAGCGAGTCCTCACAAGACCTGGGAGCTGCAAGAATGGCTCCTGGAAGTGGCAAAGCTGGGTGAGGACAGGTCCTTTCAGTCACTAACCTGCTGTATAACAACTGCTCTGGGCTCTAACTAAACTTTGTCCATTGCACTGTGGCCCTGGATTTTTAAAGCAGGTGCTAAAAAGAAGGCACCAGGGTGGCATGTGGAACATGATCCCATATGCCATCCATTCCCTTGGAGATGTTAAAAGAGACTGAGGGGGAGCTAAAGCATAAAAACAGCTTCTTTGCAGTGGTCACAGTTAACATGTCTGTATGATAAAACTAGGGTGAAAGGAAGGAAGGAGGTGTGCAAAGCCGATACTGATGGAAACCCTATTACTTAGGCAATGTTATTCAAGAACAATTTATCTGTGAGAAAATATGACACTTGTAATGTAGCCAAGTCCTTAGCAAGCTGTAGAGGCAGCTGCACAGTCTTGCCTGAGGCATTGAGCATGCCATCTGAGCAAGTTACAAGGAAATCTCTTTAAATAAAAAGGGGGGGGAAAAAGCAGTTCATTAATATTAGGCACTCTGTGTCCTGCCAGAATGCTTGCTTTTCATATCAAGGCTCTGATTCTTCAGAAGTACTTTTTTGTCCTCTTTTGGATTGCTGACCAATTCAGTGGAGAGAACGTGTAAGGAAGCCAAAATCATATTCACTCATGAAGTATCTTTGAAACAGAGCTGTCTGGATTGTCCTATATTTGAAAGACTCTTTCATGGGTACATGGTGTGTGATTCAGCCACAAGCAGAATGAGGTTCCTCTTGTGAAACTGCAGATTTCTGCAACGTCTTCATCTGAACTATCTCTCAGCGCACCCTGCAATAATCAATGCAGAGAAACAAACAACTACACAACTGAAGTGTTTTGGATATCCATGTAATCAAAGGTGATTTGTGCCTGAAGACTGCCATCTTCCTTCTTTTGGCAGTAGAGATGCCTTTAGACATCTACTGTAAAGTTAGGGGAAATTAATCCCAGCACAAAAGTATGCATCATTTTATAAAGGTTAGCTCAGGTAGTCTGGATGGCCACCAGGCATCCAAATCCTGCATTCTCAGCTTTTCTTTTTGCATTGCCTGTGACAGATTCTCAGTTTTCTACTGAAATTCCTCCTTTTCCCCAAAGTACCATCATATTTTCTTAATTTTTTCTCTCATCCTACCTGCAGGTGCAGACAGCAGAATACCCTTTGAATAGCACCCAGCAGTACAGCAGCCTCCTAAACTGAGTGTGTCCAACAGCCACAAGGTGAGTTCTGTAGTAAATCTCAGCATACTGGGTGTTGATAAATAGCATGACAGAGCAGCTGGTTGGGATTTTTGGATTAATGTTTTTTATTAGAAAATGACAGTTCACAGAAGTAAAAAGGATTAGTGGGAGCATAGTTGTTCCAAAGAAGTTTTCCCAGTGGAGCCTTTTGGTTTGTGATTCTGAGAGAGAGAGTGAGCTTGATCAGCTACTAGGAGTAGCCCTGGTTCATGTCCTGAGAGACCTCTAGTTAGATCTGGAGGCTGAATTTAGCTCTCCCATGCAAGAAGAATCCACTCTATTGAGAGTAGAAAAGGGAAACATCTTATGTAAAACTTTGGGAGGTGTCAGCATAATTTGTAGCTTAAATGAGTACAACTGTTCCCTGTAAAAATATGAAAGAGAAAACTGTTCCTGTCCAGGAGACCTCAGGAGAAGTCTCCTAAGGCCTCCTGAGGTTTGTTAGGAGATTAACAAATTTAAATGCACTTCATGCTTGTTAATGCAAGAGAGATAAGTAGTAGGGTTTCAACTTTGACTTATATAAACTAATTACTTTAAAAAAAATCCAGATAGTTAATAAAAATTATTATAGTGTTTAGATAGGTTCAGTTATAAGCGAAATACAGTTTTCACTGTGATTTTTTTTTTCTTTTTTGCTGCAGAACACCCATGTTTCTCTGTTATTTCTCAGAAACTCTTACTGAATGTAAGAGAAATGACCTTGGAAAAGTAAAGGAGACACTGAAATTATTTCAAAACTTTTTTGTTTTTCATGGTGGGAATATGTTCTGTTTCTAACACACACAGTGCTTTGCAGTGAGATCCTGCCTAGCTGGAGATGCACACAAATGCTGGCAACGCTTTCTGTTGCAAGAGAGGACAGGAACAACAGTTTGTAATTCATAAAATCATAGAATGGTTTGGGTTGGAAGAGATCTTCAAGATTATCTGGTTCCAACACCCCTTCCCTCCGTAGGGACACTTTACACTGGACCAGTTTGCTCAGAGTTCCACCCAGCCTGGCCTTGAGCATTTCCAGGGATGGGGAATCCAAAACTTTTCTGGACTGCCTGTTTCAGTGCTCCACTACCTCATAGGGAAGACTTTCTTCCTAATCTAAACCTACACTCTTTTATTTTGGATCCATTTGCCCTTCTCCTGTCACTGCATGCCCTAGTCCATAGCCCCTCTCTGGCTCTCTTGTAGGCCCCATTGGTAGTGGAAGGCTTCTGTAAGATTTCCCTGGAGTCCTCTCCAGGCTGATGAACATCAAGTCTCCCAGTCTGTCTTCATAGGAGAAGTGTCTCAGCCCTCTGATCATTTTTGTGGACTCCTCTGGACTCCCTCCAGCAGGCCCACATCCTTTTTTCATTGAGGACCCCAGATGCAGCATTCCAGGTGGGATTGCATGAGGGCAGAGAGGCAGAATAACCTCTCTTGACCTGCTGGCCACTCTGCTTTTGGTAGGCTTTCTGGGCTGCAAGCACACATTGTTGGGTCATGTTGAGCTTCTCATCAACCAACATCCCCAAATCCTTCTTCTCAGGGCTGCTCTCAATCCATTTTCCACCCAGCTTGTACTTGTGCTTGGGATCCTCCCTACCCATGTGCAGGACCTTGTACTTGAGCATTGTCTTGCCCTAAGCAATCCAGGTGGTGTGAGTTGTCTTTGGAATAAATGAGGTGGAATACTATAACAGTGCCAGATTTAAAGTTGTTTGGGAGGTTTTGTAAACATACTAGTGGCCTTATTTTGACTGGTAGGTAGCCAATAGCCACTTCAGTTAGCATTCAGTGCTATAATTAGCTATAAAGAGTTTTGACAGGATCAATAATTCACCCATTGATCTTTTACATTCATTATTTTGCATCTAAAGGGTGCCTAAGCATTAATCAGAAAATTATTTACTGAGATGATGTCTTGTGAAATCACTGTCTGCCTCCTAAAAGGTGAGGGAAGGAAATGTTAAATGGATTTCGGGTGAGTTACTGATGATCCCTTGTCTGGGGCTGGCAGGACCCAGTGGCAGGGAAGTGCCTGCTACCCTTCCAGCACTGATTTCAGCCAGTGCCATGCTCTCTTTAGGCACCTGCTGATCTGTATAAATTTCCAGGGCTATCCCACACAGTTCTCTGCTTCAAGGCTTTTGGCAAGATCACCCATCCTTCTGAGAGCTTTGTTTGTGGGACAGTGTGGGAGAGCTGGGGGTGCAGGGTGACAGCGTCTGCCGCCTCAAGTGCATAAATAGCCCAGATGAAGACAAAAGGCAGGTGGCAAATTAGGACATAAACTTTGGTCTGTGGGAGTTCCCTGTGTGTCCGAATGACACAGCTAATCATTGGGAATTTGTCCCCTTGCCATCCTCACTCCTTGGCTAGCACCCACCCTCAGTCTGCTGCAGTTTTGCAAGTCATTCACTGTTTGTCCTGCACCAGTATCTCACAGAGCCGGTGCCATTGGGTATAAAAAGGTCTCAATATGCAGACAAGAGATTCAGACAGAGAAGAGACACAGACAGAAAAGCAGCCATGGTTGCAGCAGGGGCTGTGACCTCCTGCCACGGGCAATATGCAGGCTGATCCCAGCCTGGAGGCAGCAGCTGACACTGGCAAGCCAAAGCCAGCCTGTCTGAGGCCACCTACCCCAATTTAAATTTGATCTACCTTGCTACATTTTAATTAAGGAAAGCAGCTTCCATGCTAGTATCTCTGTACCAGATCACACTGTACAGTTATTTTCATCGTCCTGGGAAAATGGTTGTGTGCTCTGCACAAACCTTCAGCCACCAGGAAAACCTTTTTTTTTTCCCCAGGGCCCCTACCTTTCCAAATAAGACCAAATAAGTAGAAAGCTAGTTAGTAAGAAAAAAATGAATATGAAACTAGGAAATATGTTTTGGAAAAAGACAAATAGCTGAATAGCAGCTAAATTCCAACTGTAGCATATCTGTCATTCTCCCAAAGACCTTTGGAAACATGCCTGCTTCATGCAAGCTGGATTTGTATTTCAGGGAATGCATGTGCACTACTACTGTGCTAAAAATAAACATCTGCTGTACCAGGTCCACTGGCTTAGTACATCCAACTTCTCTGAACCCTCCCACCTGTGCTTTTTGCCTTTGGAGATAGCAGGATTGAGTTCTTGAAATATTTTTGCTGTTTAAATAATGCTGAATCATGTGTCAATTAAGACAGGAAGAGCTTTCTGCAGGTTTTAAGACTGACTTGTATCACTTTGGGTTGAGCCAGTAATTAATTTGAAACAGGATTGCACACTTGCAAGTTGTTGGCTTAGGTATCTCAGTTTCTGAGGGAATGAGAGAGGGAAGGGATTGCAGAAACGAGAGCTGACAATGCCGTGTCATGGCTCCCCTCTCTTCCTCCCTCTCTTTCTAGTTTCACACTGCAGATTAACTGAGTAAACATCTGATGTGTGGCATCCTGCACCTATGCCCAGCAAAGCTGCTCTGATTATACTTTCCCAGCTTTTCGTAGGAGTCAAATGTCCACTCTGGGGTTGATGGTGAAAATCTCTTTTTACAGCCAACCTTGGAAAAAACCTCCTGGTCTTTTTTGGTGAGGAGAAAGATGGTTTTATAACCGCAATAATTTTATTGCCATTTTAAAAGTTGAAATTTAAATGAAGATCAAAGGGAGTAGCACAACTAATCTTAATGGAGATTTGTTGTCATTTTTAAAATTGTAATTGTAATTTTTTCTATTGTACAATTTGGGTTACTTTCCTTCATCTTGAGTACTGAATAATACTGTAATATTGTTGTACACACATCATATGTGAAAGCAGAAATGTTAACTTATGCAGGTATTCTTGAATTTTCTGAGAAAAAAGTTCAGACCACAGTACAAACTGACTACCCGACAGTATGGAGACTGGATTTGATAATCACAGGAGCTTGGATCAGAAACTTAATGCTTGAGCCATACGAAACATGCTGCTCCAGCTATCTTCTCTACAAAGCTGCAACTTTGGTGAGACAAAGATTCCAGTCTTCCAGTTTTGAGAAGAAAATAAAATGTAGCTGTTTTTCAGACAAACAGCCTTTCATAGTTTTTTGCTTGTACTGAAAACTTGGCTGAAGGTGAGGACAGCTTCAGAGATAAATGTGCTCTGTTGCCATTTGTACAGTCTGATTATATAGCATGGCAAAGAGAAGACTTGCATTAAATTTAAACTACATATATTTGTATCTGACACGCTTACATTTTTTAACTTCCTTGGCAACATTAGGCAGCAATTATTTCTGTAATTTTACAGTGATGGGGAAGTTCAGAATCATTAATTTAAACTTCTTCAAACTGTGAGACACTGGAGACAAGTCTTCCAGTTTTGAGAAGAAAATCAAATCTAGCTGTTCTCCAGACAAGCAACCTTTCATAGTTTTTTACTTTTATAATTAGCAGTTGTGTATAGGGTGGAATACATATGAAAATTAAAAGTTAATTTAGTCACATGCTTGTATTTTATGCAAAGGCAGAAAGGCACCCAAGCATTATAGATCTGTTAAATATCCAAGGGAAGTTACATTGTGTCAGTTTTTGAAGCAAAGTTTAGCTGTTTAGTCTGTAAAGTCCTCAAGATAAGGGGTTTTCAAGATTTTCTTTCAATTTTTGTTTAAGTAGTTTATTTCAAATTGTTCCCTCGAAGTATTTCCAACACAAGAGCTGCAACATAGGTTTGCTGCCTGACAACAGAACTGATTGAAATACAAATGGAGCTGTCACTGTTCAAGTTGAGTGAGACATAAAAAGGAAACAAATGACATGAATGATGAAAACTAGCTCAGCTTGTAAAGCAGTTCTGTTATTGTTAATGTAAGATGTTGTTATTGCAGGCAGTTTACAGCACCTTGTGTTCTCCATCTTTACATATTTGTTTCTTATCTTTAAAAACCTCTAGCCTGCATTTACGTAGCTCCCTGAGCACAATTGCTCTTAAACTTACTTTTGGTTTCTGCTGTTGGGAGTAGTGACGGTGA